TATTGAACGTGCCCAGGACAGCCCAGAGGACAAACAGACCTCTGCACAGGGGAAGCGGGGAGCGCACCGCTTCCTCGCCCTGCACGCTGCCGCCCGCACCTCTCCCTCCGGCGACCACCTGGCTCCAGAGGGACTGCTCTTCACCTTGCTTTTCCAGGCCGACCCACCTCGGTGGCGGCGCCTTTGTCTGCAAAACGGCCCCAGAGCTAGAGCTATTTGTTTTTAAATGCACGCTTCATGGCCAGAGCATCACAGAGCGTCGTGTACCCTCGTGGAAGGGCCGGGGAGAAGGCATGCAGGGACTAGTGTCGGAGTGGCCTGCCTAGAATGGAGTTCCCAGGGCACTGCCCACCTTACAGCGAGGCTCACTTCAGAAGTCACCTCCCCGCTGAACCCCCCAGGCCTCACACCCCAGGGGAGTGGCCCCAGCCCTTCTCTGTGTGTGTGTGTATGGGGGGGTTGTCCTGTCGGTAGGGGAAAGGGACTTTTGGGTCTCCCATGAGAGCCTGAGAGGCTGGTCTTGCAGGCTGACAGAGAGGGCAGGTCTGGGTGCTGGTCTTGGGTTATTGACAAGCAGAGAGTGACAGTCCAGCTCAAGTTCAGAGTGTGTGCCCTTGTGGCTGAGAAAGAGCACGTGTGCATGTGTGTATATGCGCTAACACCCCGCTTTATGTGCACACATACAGGCAAACACTTGTGTGTACACACCTACCAATGCATTCACAGATGCCCATACCTGTACGCACCAGCACATACTTCAGACACGTGCAAATACTACCGTGTGTACACACCGACTCGTGCACACCCACCCACGCGCACTCACACAGGTGTGCACACACATGCACACTCATGCGCACACACCCACACACGCACACACACTGGGGGAGTGTGCGTCTTCTGCAGGAGGCCCAGCCCCAGGACCCGTAGTACTTTCAGCATCAGCAGGAGAGAAAACACCTTTGAGTGGCCTCAGGTCAGTTCTGACAGAAGGAAACACTGCCGCTCCAGTGCCGTCCTGCCAGTTGTTACCTTTGAGTCCATCATGGCTGCCAGTGTTTCAATCCGTCCTTCCTCTCTGTCGCTGCCCCTCCGCCTTGCTAGGCATGACATGCTTCTCCAGGGATGGGTCTCTCCCCTCCACACGTCTAAAGTCCATGAGATGAAGTCCCACCATCGTGTCTCTACGGAGCACTCTGGCTGTCCTTCCAGGCAGATCTATTTGTCCTCTGGTCATCCACAGGACCTTCCATAGTAGTAGCTGGCACCATGCTTCCAACACATCCCTCCCCAGTCTTCCTTGGTCAGTGTCCCACTTTCAGGCTGGAAAGTTGTTTTAGTGTATGGCGTGAATACACTTCTTTACACCACCACAATTACAGTTGTAAGATGCACTGTAATTATTATTATGAACAGTAACGGAGGAAGGCACCCACACAGGCAAATGCAGCAGCTCCGGGAGAAGTCTCAGCTGGGACTCGGCTCAGACTAAGCCAGTTGTCTTGGGACACCTGTCCCGGGTACTCTGTGAGCACCTTGGACAGTCTCCCCGCCTGAGAAGGCCAGCTCCTGTCTGACCCGCCTGGAGGGAAAGCGCTGGCCAGCAGGACGGAGAGTGCAGGGCCAGCATCTGGCATCTCTTCCTTTCAGAATTCAATTCCCAATGCCTGACGCAGCCCTGGCCGGATGCACTGTCCCCGGATGCCTGTCTGGCCTGTGTCAGCTGCTGATTGACCCTGATTGGACAGTAATGCGCTCACGGGCGGTGGTCATGAACGCCTTCGGATCGGAAGGCCCACAATTGGGCCCATGTTCCCCTGGACTTCCCTTGCCCTGCTTCCAGTGGGTGTTTGCTCCCCCAAAAGCTAAGGAGGCTCCATAGAGAGAAAGGTTTCTCCTTCAGATTCTGGAGGTGGTCACTGGCTTTCAGTCTTTCGGCCTGGAGCCCGGAGAACCATGGACTCAAAGAGCACAGGACCAGAACCTTCTCGCCTTGAGGCACTGCAGGAGAGAAGGCTTTCTAAGAATTTTGATGCATCACTCCGGCTCTTGGGCGCATTGAGACCCCCAGATGCCCCTGCCTGCGCTCTGCTCCAGCTCCTCCTTGGATACCCACCAGCAAAGTGACAGTCCCAGCTACTAAGCCTGACTTCTCCCCTCCCCCCATATAGACCCTGAAAGACAGGCAGGCAGAGAGGCAGGCAAGCAGGGAGGAGGCAGTAAGAGAAGCAGGTGGGGAGACATGGACACAGCACTCTGGACATTCAGTGAGTGATCCAAGGCACCTTGGCCCCTGGCCTCGTTCCAATGGCTTCTTGGCGTGGCCACCAGCCCTTGAAGGTCGCAGGAGGAGGCCACAGTCCTATGCTGGGCTGTGAGCGTGTGGCTTTGGAGCAGCATTGATTTTGCATGGCCTCGTTTTTCATGTCACTCCTTGGATGGCCTGGCGCTGAGCCATGCCCACTGGCGAGTCCCCCAAACTCCCTCCGTGTAGGAGCACCTGGGTGAGGGGCTCCTGTGATCCACACCCTCTTTCCACAGGATTAGCAGCTAGTAAACTTTTTTTTTTTTTAATGTAACTCCCTCCCTCCCATTCCCCAGTAGCCATCCGTCTTTTTGGTCTCAGTAGCAGGCCTGTTTCTGGTTAGTGTGTGTTGTGTAAGTGGGATTGCACAATATCGGTTCTCCTGTGCCCCGTGGCCACCCCCCACCACCACCCTCCATCCCCCCACCCCCCCGCCCTCGCCCCACCCTGCTGTCAAGGGCCATGGCCCTCAGTGTGCGTCAGGGGCCCGCTCCTCTCTGGGGCTGGGTGACACGCTACTGAATGGAATGGAGAGATAGCATGGTGGTCCAGTAGCAGTCGCTGGCAGTCATTTGGGCAGTGCCAACCAATTGATTGGCCACTGAGACTCAGTGCCACGGACCCAGCCCTCAGGTGAGCAGGGTTCTGCTGGATGGAGCCCCTGCTTCCCTGGGGCCTCTACCTAGGGGTGGTGTCCCTGGGTCACAAGGCCACTCCGTTTCTATCGTAAAGAAGCTACCACACAGGTCCCCACGGTGTGCCCTTCCCACCAGCCCTCCCCCTGGGTGCCAGCGTCAACACCTCACGGCCACCCTGGTTCCTGCTGACTTTCCCGGGGAGTGAGCTGCACCGTCTCCTTGTGGCTGTGCTACACAGTTCAGCGATCTGGGAGGTTACTTTGAGGACTGAGGCGCACCCGGCCCAAGCCTTGGTGTTTGCAGTTGCCGCCTGTGCGTGGGGGAGTGGTACCTTAAAGAAGGGAGGCTGAAGAAGAACGGATGCCTTTTCACAATGGTGTTGGGGACGCATATTGAACGTGCCCAGGACAGCCCAGAGGACAAACAGACCTGTCTTGGAAGAAGTACAGCCAGGATGCTCCTTAGAGGCAGGGAGGGTGAGACTTGGTCTCACACACTTTGGAGGTGTGGTCAGGGGAGACCAGTCCCTGGAGAAGGACGTTGTGGCCTGGTAAAGTGGAGGAGCAGCCCAAAAGAGGAAGGCCCATGACAAGATAGGTCGGCACAGGGCTTGTAACAAGGGCCCGGAGCCTGCGAACCATGGTGGGAGGACCGTGCAGGAGCGGGTCGTGCTCCCTTCTGTTGTCCACCAACTTGATGGCTCCGAACCACACTGACCTCCAGTCGAGCCTGGCCCCAAGTGGGTAGGGGTTCACGGTGGGGCTTCTGGAGCCAAGAGGAGCCTCCTGCCCACTGGAGGGGCTGGAGGGGCTCTCCCCTTTGACCCTTTGTCATCTCGAAGGGCTGCCCACCCCCTGCCTTGGGCCCACCCCCCCATCAGAGGATGGGGCCCGTCTTCCTTTCCTATCACAGCAAACACAGGTGTCAAGTAAGGAGCAGGTGGGGGATG